TTATTTATTTATTTATTTATTATTGATTCATTGATTGAGGTTTTTTGAGACAGGGTTTCTCTGTGTAGTTTTGATTCCTGTTCTAGAACTTGCACTGTAGACCAGGCTGGCCTCTAAATCACAGAGATCTGCCTTGCTCTGCCTCCCAAGCGCTGGCATTAAAGGTGTGTACCACCACTGCCTGGCAATATTAGTAACTTTTAATTGGTTAAGTTCAATTGGGGGTTCCAGTTGGGAGTTATCCATTTTTAGGCAGGCCTGGACAAGTCCTAGGCTTTGTCCTTGAGCTGCCATGGAGGCTGGCTGGCCTAGCATGGACTCATTGTGGTTGCTGTATCAGTGGCCCAGGTTTCACAATGATGCATGCACATAGCTCTAAGTTGGTGAGGGCTCCCAAAGAGTAAACACCGGGCTCAACCTTGAGTGGACAGAGTTCATGCAGAAAGGGAGTTATTGTAAGGACTGTGTGTTTTGTTCATGGCCTTCCCAGAATGGCTTGCTCAATTCTCGGGACCTGAAATTGTGGTCTGGTCTCTGAGAGAAGACTCAGCAGCCTCTTATGCCTTCTGCTGGGTCTTCTCATTCCCCCCTCGAATAGTGTATCATCTCCAATCTTGGAGATGTTTATTTTTGTTAAAAGACTTTATTATAAGGGTAGTAGATTGTTTTGAAGACTAATCAGAGCAGGACAGAAGAGGTTTTCCATTATCAACAGCAAAGTGAGCCTCTCCTTATTCAGTTGTTGCCATCTGCAAGAGTGTCATGGGTTTGGTTCTGGGACTGTGTGATATCACTGGGTGATACTGTGATTCTAGCATCCTCAGTTTAGTGGTACTCAGACAGGAATTATTATTCAGTTTAGGCATCAGTGACATAAGAGCCAACAGTAATTAGTAGAAGCAGAAGGGCCCAAAGCACTGTAATGGCTGACAGAGTTCCTTATCCTAAAGGAAGTTGTAAATGAGAATGGGGACCAGTCATTATTTTATCTCAGATTCCCTTTGACAAGAAATTCCCTTTTGATCTAACATTGGGCGGCGGGGGGGGGGGGGGACAACAAGGGAGACATTTTTGCCTCTGTAATTTCTTCCTGCTAACATTGGGATTATGTTGTCAGGGTCCTGGGAAGCCAGAATGTTAGTCAACAGCAAGGAGGGAATAAAGAAGCATCTGGTTTATTGACCAGCTGAAGAGATGGCGTTTATATAGGCTGGACTGGTTCGTATTAGATTTCAGAAAGTTCAGGTGTCATAGTCATTTGGAGTAGGTTGTTGTCAGCAAATGATGCTTGGGTATGTCTGTCAGCCAAGTGGTTACCTGTTGAGACAGATATAAACTAGGAACAGCCATTGAAATTGATGAACTTCACTTATTCAAACCCCGATGACATACTCAAGCCCTCATATTTTTATATCTTAAACTGTTATCTCAAACCAAAAGACCATTTATTCAAACTTTGATCCTCATATCTTAAGATTTCATATTCTTATAAAACATTACATTCTAAATATCTTTTTTTCTACTTAATTCATGGAGCTATCCTGTACTGGAAATTTGATACAGTTTTTCTTCTTCTTTGAAGCAATAATAATTTGTAACCATTTGTCTTAAATGATGGCAAATGTTTG